CCCCACTAGACAGAACATTCCAAGAAGACCGGCACTGAGGAGGAGAGAAATATGTGCCATGAGGGAGGCACCACGACAGTTTGCAGGGATCCCAGGTCCCTTGACCAATTCATGTCTTGGACTTGATTCTGGCTCTGCCCACTCCAGGAAGATTCCAAATCGGAGAGCCCAGAACCTATGACCTTCAAGGTCAGGGGACCAGCCAGTTAACACCTATGGTGTGGCAGGGGAGGTGCAGAGTGGGGTCCTCCAGCCCCCAATGGCCTCTTGATTGGGTCACCACCACCACAAACACCACTAAAGCCAGAAAGCCACCAAACCACCACCACCAAGACTTCTGCCACCGTGACATCAAAAACAAAGACTAACTTCCTAGGAAATCCCCTTGGAGCAAACTGGTGCAGTGAAGAGAACAGATCTTAACCTGACATAAAAAATGCTTGGGCATAGTACATGCTCAGTAAATATTAGCTATCATCATCGTAATAGTCATGAAGTACCCAGCACACAGCAGGTGCTCAGTAGCTCCCTGGTCCCAGGGGGACAGAAGTTGGAGGAAGTTGGCAGCCACCCACCCACCCCCATCCCTAGGGCCTCCTCTTGTGCACAAGGAGTCAGAGCACCAAATGCAACCCTTTGGTACACAGGTGGGCAAACTGAAGCCTGGACAGGGAGGACTTGCCCGAAGTCAGAAGCCAGGTCTGTCCCTGGAATCTGGGTCTCCCAAGCCCCAAGCCGATGCCTTGTCCCCTGATGAACTCAGCCAGTCTGAGGAGGGAGGTTTTCAGTGTGTTCTGCCTCTGGCTTCAGGCAGGTGATGCTGACTCCGAGGACAGCCTTGTGGGGCGGAGCTCAGGCCCCTTGAGCAGAGCTCCAGGGCTTCTCTGGAAGGCTGGGGCTTGGCCTCTGCATGAGGCAGGTGCAGCTTCTTGACTTGACGGAGCCAAAAGAAGCCTGCTGTCCGGCCAGTCAGGAAGGGAAGAGGTCACAGGGGAGGCCCATCCTGGCCCCTGGTTCCCTGAGTCTTTAGCAGCTATGGATGTCAGTGTGGCCATCCAGCCAAGCGGCCCCTGGCATTGAGATGGCAGGGGCCACCGTGGCCACTTGCTTTCTCCTGGTTTCTGGCCTTCCCTGAGACTCTCAGCCACCAGCACTGGTCCCTGGCCACCTTCCCTTAGGCTCTCTTTCCACTGCTTCCACCCCTCAACCTACCCCCACAGGTCAGTGAGACACTGCAAGTCAGTGAGCAAGGAAATGGCATTCACACCAAGCCCGAGGGACCCCAAAGCCCGTACCCTTTCCGCTTGGTCTCACTGCACCAGGTTTCCCCAGGTGCTGTTTCCTGTCAGTGCCACCACTAGGCCTCTTTCCCAGTGACCGCTCCTTCCACCTTCCATGGCCTCTTTCTGGAGGAGGCTCATTCCCCAAGGCCCTGGCAGGAGCTCCCTGGTGGGGATGGTGATGACAAGGTCAAAGAACAGCTCCCAAAGGAGGAAGGCTGGCATGGGGCACCCAGAGGTGCTGTCAGCAGAGGAAGCTGCTCACAGTGAGCTCAGCCTGAGCACCTGCTCTGCCGGAAGTAGAAGGGGACTTTGCTGGAAATCTGCCTTTAATCTTGGCTTCCTGTTTTCTGCCCTGGGGGACCGCCCAGAAGATCTGAGTTTCAAACTATTTCACACCAGCTTCTCTAAACTGTGATCTCAGAGCAAAGGGGCTGGGGGAGGGGAGAAGGCAGGGTAGAGGGAGAGAGCCCCTCCTCTCCCCAGAGGACCCATAAAGGTGCTTAAGCTCTGGACTTCTGGCTACCACTGACCAACTCCACTTTGCATCGAGCTCGCCCAGTTGGCCTGTATCATCAAAATGCAGCCAGAAGTCTGAGCTCCATTCCCCATATCCAGGGGTCTCCCCTCTCTCCTCTTTTCTCCATTCCTCCAGGGTGGGCTCACCATACTGGGGACAAGTAGCCCAGCCTGGGAAACCTAGTGCTTGAGCCTACCTGGCCGAGAGGGGGCTCCTCCTAAATTTACTCCCCAATCCTGAAACCCAAGGCCCCCTTTCTGATAATTTCCTACCGCGAAATCTGTTGAGGGGAGAGGCTGTGTGATGCTCCAGGCTTTGGAGGTCCTCAGACCTCAACCTCAGTCCTGGGGGTGGACTCTGGAAAAGTTCTTGATGTTGGAGCCTCATTGGGCTTGTCTGTAAAATGTGGCTCCAAACACTGACTTGCTGTCTCCACGTCTCACAGGGATCTTAAACTCAGGTTGTCCAAAGTCCAGCTCTTGAGCGTTACCCCCTGTCCCTCTCCCAGGTCCTCCCTACCTCAGCAAAGAGCATCACTGTTTCCCAGCTGCTCCAGCCGCACCTGAGGATCAGGCCTGCCTTCTCCAGTGGCCTCACTCCCCACAAACAGCCCCTCACCGAGAGCTGTCACATGGCTCTCCTCTGTCCACCAGGGCCCATGCCCATCATGACTGGCCAGACAAAGCAAAGCCTCCTCAGCGGTCTCTTGACCTTCCCTCAATCATGTCACCCCCCCCTGTTTAAAATCCTCCCACGGCTCCCCCTTGCTCATACAATACAGTCTGAACTCGTGTAATAAAATCCCTGCCCACAATGCCCCACAGGATCTGGCCTTGTACTCTCATACCATTCTCGCCCACTTGCTGGTCTTGTCACCTTGGCCTTCTGGCTGACCCTGAAGACACTGAGCCCTGGGTGCTGGTCTCCCCCAGTCCTCTCTCCTCCAACAAACGTTCGTTGCCTTCATATCCCAGTGTCTAATTGCCCTGCTTATTTATTTACCCTATTGGGCAAGAACTGTGGCGGTCTTGCTCACATCTTCATCTCCAGCGTCCTGAATGGTGCCTACACTTAACAGGTGTTCAGTCAGTTTTTGTGAGCGCGCGAATGAGGGAGTGAACGAAGGGTGAGGTTGCAAGCTAACTACTCTTCCACTAAAAGATGGCTCTATGGGGCAGGGCCCTTGATCAATTTGTCCTCTGTGCCTGGGGTTCAGGGAAGTTAAAAAATGTGTTTCACTGCGCTGTGAAGAGGTGGAGCCAGGATTCAAATGCAAGTCTATTTGACTCCAAAGTTCACTCTCTAGGCCACAGCAAACCCAGGGGAAAAAGTCAAATGTGTTTGGGGTAAAGGAAGATAGGCTGGTGACAAAACTGGGACAGGCATTAGAGTATTTTCCTCAAATCCCCACAATCCTTTCCCATTTTGCCACCTGATTCAGTCAGAGGAGGGAAGATGCCAACTTCTCCCTTCCAGAAGCCTCTGCAGAGCTGCTGAAGTGCTTTCCTTTAGGCTGAGAGATGGCCCCATCCGGCCCGCTTTATCGTTCCATCTTGACCTCAGAGGAAAGAAAGGGAAACCAACCGAGCTGAGCACCTTCCCCGCCCCCCTCACCCCAGGCCGTTATCTTGCTGAATCTGCATCATCTCTCACAAGGGAGGTGTATTTTGAGCCTGATCTTACAGAAGAGGAAACTGAGCTCAGAGACCTTAAGTAATTATCCCAAGGTCACACAGCTAGTAAGTGGCCCAGTTGAGATTTCACTTTGAGATTTGAACACTGAATCCATGCTTTTTTCCATTACACCACAGACATCGCTGAGACTTACTGAATATCTCCTCAAAGGGCAGGGATGTGGCCACTGCCTTCTTCCTTGGAGGGCTGCCCCTTCCCTGGGAAGCTGGCCCAGGGTGCACTGGGTCAGAGGGCCAACTTGTGGTTTGTCCGGCAGGGCACACCCAACTCCTGCTCCTGGCATTTGAGGCTCATTTCAATTCTGCAGCCACACTGTCTCCCAGCTCACTCTCCCACAGGGCCCCTTACTGTCCGCTCACTCTCTCGGCCCCTCACTTGTTTTGAATTTCAAGACTTTACCTTGAAGTTTCAACTCATTTCCCCCACCGGAGAATGCCCGTCCTCTCTGCCCACCCAACCCTGACCTTTCTTTCAGGGCCCAGTCCCTGGGAAGTGCCCTGACACCTCCTATCTACAGTGGAGTCTCTGGGCTCTCCCCCATCACTGCCTGCCCCAACTCTGTGCCACCCGCCCCCACCACCACCACCGCTATGTGCTCACGGAGCTCAGAGCAGATCACCTCTCGGCACTCTGTTAACACTAACGCATAATAGTAGGCAATACTTAACTGAGGGCTGACCGTGTGCCAGCCACTGCACATTAAGCACTTCAAACGTATTAACTCATTTCCTCCCCACAAAACCTTAAGAAGTTGGTGCTATTTCCCCCCCACACACATTTTACCAAATGGGGAAACTACAGCACAGAGAGGTTAAGTAACTTTCCCAAGGTCACACAGCTACTGGCAACTTCCTTATTGCCTCCAGGCTGAAAACAAAGTCCAGGAAAGTCCTACAAGGCTCCTGGGAGCTCTCTTGTCCCTGTGGCCTTCAGGGACCCTATCTCCCACCACTCTCCTGGACCCATACTGCAAACTGTGGCCACACTGGGCTATTTACAGTTCCCAGAGCCATCAAGTGCTCTCACCTCTCCCTACCTTTGTCCATGCTGTTCCCTCTGCCTAGGGTCCCAGCTCTGTGAAGTCTCCCCATTAGCCTTCACCTCTTTTCTGCTTCCTGCGGACCTTGTACCCCACCTCTCCACTCTTATCAACTATTTTTTTGCGCTTGTCTGTTGGCCTGTCAGTTCTCCTCCTGAGAACTCCTTACAGTAATGAAGGGGTCCTACTAGTAGACTCCAAAGAGGGCCTGTCCCGCTGTCAGCGCCAGGAAGTGTTTGTGAAGGAATGCTCACTGCTGCGAGCGAGGCCCACTCTCCCAAACAGATCCGAGGAGAGGAGCCCAAGCCGGGCCTCAAACGCTTCTACCTCGGAGAAGCTGCGCCCGGAGAAGCCTCGGAGGTTGCTCGAAGGCGGGTTGGTTGGCCCTCTAGGAGGGACCTCCGGGAGCCTTCAACGCTGGCAGGCAGGTGGGGGGCAGGGCGTGGGCGCGGACACACCCCCCGCCATGCCCCCGGCGCCCGGCAGGGGGCGCCGCCCCGCCGGCCCACGCCCAGCCGCGCGCCGGGCAGGCCCCCTCGCGCAGGCGCGCTGCCGCGGGCGGAGGATCCGGGCCGCGCTTCCTCTCGCCAGGCCTGCGAGCTTCCTCCCAGCGGAGCCCGGGGCGAGCCGAGCTTGGCCGCCGCCGCCGCCGAGACCGCCGCCGCCAAGACCGCCGCCGCCCTCCCGCTCCCGCCCCGCCTCGCACTCTACCCGGGAGTCCTGCCGGGGTGGGGTCCGAGCGGGCGAGCGCCCGGGCCGCCGCCGTCGGGGCGTCCCCTGGCCGGCCGTCCCTCCCGCCCCAGCCAGCCTGTGGCCGCCGGAGCCTCCGGGGCGTGGAGCGCGGGGAGCCCCCGCGGCCCCCGACGCAGCGTCCGGGGCTGCCCCCGGCGGCCGGCGCGACGGTCCCAAATCGAACCTCGGTGGCGGCGTTGGGAAGCGGAACTCTGCCGGGCCGCGCCGGCTACATTGTCCTCCCCCCGACTCCCTCCCGCCCCCCTTCTCCCGCCTTTCTTTCCTCCCCGACCCGGGCCGCGCGGCCATCCCCTTGCCTCTGTGTGGCCGTCCCTCCTTCCCCTCTCTTCGCACCCTTACCTCTTTGTACCGCACCCCCTGGGGACCTTTGCGCCCCTCCCCCCTGGCTGCATGGACTGTCCCGCAGGCCGCTGATGCTGCCCGCAGCGAGGTGGCCCGGACCGCTGTGCCCCGAGAGAGGTGAGTGCCTGGCAGGCCTGGAGGAGGTGGGCGTCCTAGTGCTTCCCGCCGGCGAGGAGGGTGGAGGTCGCAGGTCCCGCTGCTGTTGCCTCTGTTGCAGCTGCCGTCGCTTCCACTCCCATCCCCCACTCCCTTGCCCCCTCCTTCCCGCGTTCGAATTCTCCCGGGAGTCGCTGTCAGCCCGACTGGGAGGGGAGCGCACGAGGGAGGTACTGCCCTGCGAGCCCCACAGACTTGTCTCAGGCCACTACGAGTCTGTCCTCACCGTGCCCCCTCCCCGTGTAGGGTCTGGCTGGAGCTGGGAGGGAGGCGGTCAGCATGGGCCAGGGCCCTGGAAAAGGGACAGTTTTCCATTCCCTGCCCAGGGCCTCCCCGCAGGTTCCCTGGCCTGCCTGGTTCTGACCCTTCCTTGGTTCTCCCACCGAGGCCCTGCCAGCTCCAGGAAGCCCAGGGCCCAGCCACCTCCCTTGAGCCTACCAGAAGTTGAGCCTGTCACCCTGGACGTCCCAGAAGACTAGGCCTAAGCCAAGGGACCTCTGACCCTTGGGTGGGGAAACTGGGCAAGGTCTCTGTTCTGGGTGGAGGTGACACTGGGTATAAGGACCATACCCCCAACTCATGGCAGCCTGGTCAGCCCATTCGCCCAGGCTCCTCAGGGCCCAGGCCAGGTGTCAGGAAGGGGCGTGTCCATCTCCAGATCCTTGGAGCTTAACTAGGGGTTCACCTCCTCTCTCATTTTAGTGGACCAGGGAACTGAGGCTCAAAGAGGGAAGTTGCTACTCCAGGCCTCTGGCAGAGTTAGGCCATCTCTCTTTTCATCCCCTGCTCTGCAGAGCTGGACTGGGGTGGGTGGAGGGAAACTAGGCAGGCACCTTCACCCACCAGGGGCACAGGGCCCCAGCCTGGCCCAAGGGACCTTGTGGGATGAGCATGTGCTCCCCTGCAGAGGGCTGGAGAGAAGAAAGAGGGCTTCCGGCCCCAGCTCTGCCTGTTTCTAGGCTCAGGCAGCATGGGCAGTGCCTGTGGGATTTCCCCCTGTTGCCTGAGGCTGGGTCCCACTGGCAGGGGATGTGGGGTTGCCTGTGTCGTGTGACCCTGGCACTGAGCTGAAACAGCCTGGTGATCAGTCCTGACCCAGCCTTCCCACACCTTGGCCCAGCTGGTAGAGGAGCAACCAAGTTCAAAACATGAATGGGATCTGGATGGGGAAGGTGAGAGCCCTGTTTCCACAGGGAGCACCCTATAGCCTTGACATAGGAGCATTGTCAGAGTGAGGACACCCAGAGAGTCTGTTCCAAGCTCCCCACACCCTGGGGGTCCCAGTGTCTGTTGGTGGGGCCCCATCCAGAACAGGGTGAAGGCAGCAGAAGGGCAGTTGGGAGTGTGGCAGGATCCTCTTGCTTCTGGAAGGATGTGGGTTCCCTGGAGGATGCCAAGCTGTGTCTGGGGCCTGTTGGGTGCTCCTGGGAGTTTTGTCCTGCTCAGGCCTCTGCCCTTGATGTAGAGTTTTTTCCAGTTGCCCTGACATGCACAGCGGGGGGAACCCAGATGTGGTGGACCTGGGAGGCTCCCCTCACCCAGCCCTACCCCCAGCCCTAACTTCCTTTTCAGCCTGAGGGCCTGCCGCTGAGGCCTGACATGGTTGGGCACTTTTATACCAACTGTGAGCTGTACAGTGCGGCCCGGGTCCCCAGGCCTTTGTAGACAGGGCTCAGGCTTCAGGCTAGCACATGTGCTGGGATGTATTTTTTATTTGGTGAGCTTGGTGCCTGTCTCCCTCCCAGAAGGGGCTCCTCTTTTCTCTACATTGGGTCAGGGGCAAGAAAAGACTGGAAGATGGTCTCTAGCCCCACTGCAGGAGGCACTGGTCCCCAAGAGGTTGAGCCACCACAGACCAGCCCAGAGTAGAGGCAGGTGCTGAGGCCCAGGATCCACAGTGTGGCGTGGCTACCCCAACAAACCCCCAGGTGGTCTGATTGGGCAGGACGGCCTGGTTACAGTTCTGGGCTCCACCTTTTGAGGAATTTCGAAGCCTTGACATATAGTCCCCAAAGAGCAGAGGTGTTTGGTCTGGGGAAGAGAACGTAGGGAAAGACCTTCACGTGTCTGAGGGCTGTACCGAGTGGGAAAGGCCATCAGATGGTAGAAGATGTCTCAGAAGCCAGTGCCAGAGCTGGGGGGTGGGCGGGTCCCAGGGAAGCGAATCTGAGCTCATTGTGAGAACACTACGTATGTATTAGTTTTCTTAATTTAGAAAGTAACAAAACAGCACTTCAGAAAATTTAGAAAACAAAACAAAAATCACCACTCTTTCTTCACCAGTGCCGTGACTGTTGGGATCTCAGAGTTCCCTGCCAGTCTTTCTGATTTTTTTCCCTCGTCGCTGTTGTCATGTGAGTGTGTGTGCATGACACCTTTTTTCATCCAATACTGTGTCTATGGGCATTTTCTCATGTTGCTATATGGTCTGTGTTGCTTTGCCTCTAAAAAGCTAGAGAATATTCCAAATAGTTCTGCCACAGGAGCCTAACCCCAACCCTCTTACTAAGCATGTACACTGTCGTTTCCCATCTGTCACTGTTGTGGTGGTTGTTACTACAGGCCCCCAAAGCAGCCAGGAGTACTGGGGAGAGTGGGCAACTTGGCACCCAGCCAACTGGGGTTCCAGGTCCAGCCATGCCATTTAGGCCAGAGTGGAGGGACTTTGGACAAGTCATTCTCTGAGCCAGAGTTCCTTTATATGCACAATAGGGACGGTGATCCTGCTTCAGAGGAGTGTATGCACAGTGTGAACTAACTAACCCAGGTCCTAGAAGGTGCTGGGCACAGCCCCTGGCCTCCAGTAGGCACTGTGTGAGGAGGGGCTGGCATTGGTGATGGAGTACCCACCGAAGGCTGCCTCAACATGTGGCGAAGACACCTCGGCCAGGTTGGCTGATGGCTCACCCAGCCGGGCCTGGTCTCTGCCCCAGGAGCCCTTATGAAACCCTCTGTCCCTGCAGTTCTGGACTCCTCTAGCCAGTGCTCTGTCCTACCTCCCTGCCCTCCCTCCTCCTTGTCACCATGGGATTGGGTGGCCCAGGGCATGAACCTGACCCTGGGAAGATGGGCTACTGGTTGATTTCTGGGGCCTGACCCTACACATCCTCCTCGTTTTTTCCAAGCGTCAGAGTTGAGTGGACAAGGCTTCATCTCTAAGAGCTCAGCTGCCTCCTGTCCCCCAGCTCTGGGTACTTCCTAGGCCAGCCCCGAATTTCCCCAGTGAAGATAGAGGCGTACTTTCCCTGAAAAAACTGAGACTTGGGCAATGAACCCAGGCATCCTGAGCCCCAACCCAAGGACAGCCATGCCAGCCTCATCTCCCACCCTTTCCCAGTGGCCAAGGCAGGGAAGAAAGCTGAAGGGGCAGGGATTCTAGAGCCTCCCCGCTGGGAGTTGGAAGGGAACAGAGATGTCGACAAATCACTGGGAAAGTCTTGTGTGTGAGTGTCCTCCTCTTTGGCAGGTGTTCCCCACGTCTAACCTGAGTGTGTACTGCTGTGACATAACTTGCTTCCTCTTATTCTGCTTCTCTGGAGACCAGAGAACTGGGAATGCCCTCTTGGGGCCACCCCCTGCACAGTAGGAGGAAATCAGTCTCAGCTTGGCACTCCCACGGCCTATGAGACCATAGCCCCAGATGACCCTAGGACCATCCGGGACTAACCTAGGCAGGAAGTCCTCCCCCAGGTGGCCCATTCAGTGCAGAGGTCCCCCAGGCATGTGACCTTGGACTCTGCTGCCGGACTCTTGCCTGTGGGGTGTCTCCCTCCTCCTTGGTCTTAGGGCAGGGGAAGTGGGCATTACAACTACCCTCCTGTCCCACAGCTTGGGTTGAGATGAGGTCACAGGGTGGGGTCCTCTCCAAGATACTGGCCTGGCTGGGGCAAGCCCTTTGGGTGTTTCTCAGTCCCCCGCATCCTTGGTTGGGGACAGGATGGGTGGAGGAGCAGGCCGCCCTCGTACCAGGCAGGGAGCACTGTCTCCCTTCCTCCTCGCCTCTGGGTCCCTTCATCTGAGGGCTGGAAATAGAATCCGCTAAGTAATGATTAAAGTCAAATTCAGACCTAAAAATAAAGAGCTGGTGAAGGAAGAGCTAGTGTGCTCCCTGCATGGCTGAGGGGAGAAATGAGCAGGGCGAGGCTAACTTCGGGGGGCTGAGCCCCTGCATCCTGGGAGAGGCCAAAGCCCACTGGGGGATCAGGGGTCCTCCACCAGTTGAGGGTCTCTTCTTGGGCAGGATACAGCCTGCACCAATCAAGGACAGACTGGCAGGACCAAGGAGAGAATCTCCTTTTTCCCAGGGGGAAACTGAGGCCCAGAAGGGAGAAGTGGTTTGTCCAGCGACTGTCCAGAAGCTCCCCTTGGCAGGCCCCCAGGGGGCCTGAGGGCCCCACGAAGCCCAGCTCACCCTTTCTGCCTGCTCAGTTTCTCTTCCTGGTTTTAAGGTACTGCGATGAGAGTAGCTCTCATCACACACTAGCTGTGTACGCCTCAGTGGGGCTGGGCCTCCAACCGCAGCTTCCCTTGGCCTCCCCCCACCCCCACTCTCCCGCCCGCCCCTTCTGTGGTCTAGGCCCGGAGGCACAGAACAAGCAGCAGAGAGGCTGCCTGTCCCGCTCTGCAAACAGTTGGAAGCCTTGTGGGTGGGTGAAGACCTGGGTGTCATCTGATGCCTGCCTACCCTGGCTGCTGCTGCACAGCCCTGCCCAGCCCAGCACCTGGTTCTCACCCAGCCTGGGCATCTGCAGCCTGTGTTGTCCACGCTGCAGGGAGACTGGAGGGAAGAATGAAGAGGGGACCCTGAGAGCTCCCCTGCTGGCCGGTAGAGGAGACCAGACTCAGAGAGGAGTCAACTGGGGGAGGCCTGTGGCTCTGACTTCCTGGCAGGGCTGGTGGGAGCTCAGAAGCTGGGGATCTGCGTAGGCTGCAGCAGCCAGGAAGGCTTCCTGGAGGGGAAGGGCCAAGAAAACCAAGCAGCATTTGAGGAAGAGGCTGGGTGGAAACAGAGGTCCTTGCTTGGAACTTCTACCCTCTCTCGGGCTGCTGGCTTCTCTGGTTGCTGTGTGGCCCTGGAAAGACTCTTGGCTTTTCTGTGCAAGGCAGGGTATGGCAGATGAGCAAGGAGGTGGCTCAGATGTAAGCTATGCTCCTGAGAGCAGGAGGGCCAAGCTCTGGACAGCCCTCTCAGCCACCCTCCCTCACTATCTGTCCATTTTCAGGATATCATCGGTCCTGCCCAAGGAAGGATAGAGGATTTTTCTCCTTACCAAATTCAGACAAATCTGAGCCCAAACCCCTGCTGTACCCCTTGAAAGCTGGGTGACCCTCTTCAGAGCCGGATTCCTTGTCTGTCGAACGGAGAACAATAGTAAAACCTCATGGGGTTTTTGAGGATTAAATAACTAACGCAAGGTTGGGTTGGAGACTCTCTCCCCGGCTTTCATTTTTACCGTCTGTCCGCCTGGGGGAGGGCATTGAAAACCGTGGGTGGGTAGCAAGGCTCTATGTCCTTTGTGTTGGGCCCCCATAGCTGTGGGTCCCAGTTCTGAGACAGGAAGACTAGGAATCTGGGGGCCAAAGTTCTAGACAGCTCATGGGCCTCTGGGGCTCAGTCTCCCCACCTATGACCTGGCTAGGACTGAGGGGACAAGGACACTCCATGATTCCTTAGGGTTCTTTGGAAGTCAGTGCTGAGAGGCTAGATGTAGATACAGGCAAATGAGGATGCAAAAGCACAGCCTCTGCTGAGGGGGGTGGGAGAACAGAGGCCTGGGTTAGGGCCCTGGGGAGGCCCAGAGTCCCCGCTGCCCAGGTAATTAGGCTCCTGAGCGGTAATTAGAAACCTTTCTGGGCCAGGAGTTTTCAGCCTCAAGCGGCAGCGGTGCCTGGGGGAGGAGGCTCCCCACTAGCCTCCTCTCACTCCAGCCCTCACCCTTCCCAACCATGAGGTGGGATTTCCAGTCCCACTGAGCCACTGAGGGCAGGAAGGAATCCAGTGAGTTGCTGTCATTTGTTTTTTAACATTTTTCAGCCATTAAACTCGCTCCTCTCCTTAGGGCAAGGGGGCTGAAGGCTGAGGGAGCCCTGGGAGTGGGGAGTGGCACCATACACTGGAGCCAAAGTGGAGAACCATTGATCCCGACCTCCAGGGAGGTTTAGGCGTCTCCAAGGGTCTTGTGCCTAATTCTGCTGCCGACCTTGAGACATCTGTGCAGTGGAGGTGCTGAGGGCTCTGGACCACCTCCTGGGTCAGTGGCTGCCCTCCAGCCCCACTGCCTGGTATGTGGCCAGGGGCGTCACAGTGTGAGCAGCCTGGGTGCCCTTGACAGACCCAGAGGTGGGGCTGATTTTACTGCTGCCAAACCAGCCCAACTGCTGGTGGTGACCATATCTGTCTATCTGTCCTGTGCTTCTATCTGTCTTGTGACCTATCAGAAACTTCCGGGCTGGGTTCAAAGTTTCCATGGACCCCCACCCTGAGCCTTCTTCAGCCTTAGTTAACTCCCTCCTTACGACTGTTTGGACTCTTAGTCCTGGCCTGATCTAGCACACCCTCTCCCAGTTACTTCCACCTAAAATCCTCCCAGTTCCAGCTCCCTTCCCCTTCTTCCTGGAAGCCTTTGTGGGTTGCCCCTGTCTCTCCTGTTGAGTCACTGAGCTCA